GTTTTGACAGCTGTCAATTGACCATTTTGGGAATGTCCAATATACGAGACGTGGACTTGCCAAGACACGCCTGAGACACCACTCCCTCCCTTTTGATAGTCTCCCCTACCCCACCCTTACAATCTGTAGACGCGTACGTACGTACGCTCGGTCAATCACGTGACAACCAAACGAAAAGAGGTTGACCATATTCTATGAGTATGGGGCCCCACTATAAATTGAGTCTCAAACAAAGAAAATGTAGATTGCGGCTATAATATTTTGACTTTTGTGGTTCTTAGTTTGGCGCGCGGAAACTCGTTTAGGATTTCGTTATTTATTCGAAAGTAGACGATTCAGCTAGGAGAGTTTTAATGCCAGAAAATGTTTATCAGTCCTCAAAATAGCATGAGCATAATTTCACCGAACTAATTTACAAAATATACCTACTTTCCAGCTAACCTGCAAGGAAAGAAGGACCAACTGATCGCAGGTTACTTCAAATCCAGCTAAAGCAATTTTAATGGAGTAGAAACGGATGGTGTGGCAAAATAAGCTTCCTATAAATTCTTTGCAATTCTTTAAGGCCATTTTAAAATTCGCTTCGATTGCTTAAAGAGCTCTACAAGCCTACACTCCTGTTTATATCATGTCTACATAATTCATTTAATGGTATTTGGAAACATTTTGGAACCACAGAGACGACGTTCTAGCTGGTTGAAAATTTGTGTTGTCTAATGTCTTCTGTGATATAGGTGGAAATGTCTTACCTGCTAGGTGGAGAAGTGACTCTTGTGTTTCCAAATTGCGCACTAAATAGTATGTCTTCAGTAGCGTCAACCGTTTTATGACCAAGTTACAGCCCACTGACTAGGGGCTTTCAATTGAGTCAGGACTGTCAATCCAAAACCAACGTAAGTGAAACATCTGACCAATAAAAGAACATCTTTTAAACCGAATGAACCAATCAGATCGGAAAATACATGTAGCTGACTTATAGCGCGGAATAATCAGTTAAGGAGCCAACCATTTGACTTTTAAGGGGGAGTAGGGGGGAGGGGTTACGAGTCCCAAAACCTCTGGTGAAAGAATTTTTTCCGGAAATACAAGGGTGTAAGATTTTTTTCCAGCATTATTACGTCATGAAAGAAATTATTTTTCAGTGTAGGAATTTTTTATGAGCAAGGTAAGAGATTTTTTCCCTCGAAATCAGTCTGCAGGATATTCTTTTCTGAAGTCACCCATAGCCCCCCTCAAAAGTCAAATGCTCGGCCACAAAGCTAGTCACGAGCTGTTTTGGCTGTCATCTTATTGGTTTAGAAAATGGCGCGAGAACCCCAGTCAAGCCGGCTGTGTGACGTGTGGTCCGTATTATGTAATGTACATTGCAAATGTCTTTAAGCCTCCCATCGTTTGAATATCTTAAATTCTGGTATGCTTAAACTTATGCCCACGGGGTGGTACTCGACCAATTTTAGGGCATAGGTGAGCCACTGAGGGTTTGAAACCCTGACTCTGTTTAGGACCAAAAAATTCCTAACATACACACCCTGTTTAGGACAACATCCTAGATTTTTATTTACGCTGTTTGGGACAAGGACAAAATGCACGCCAGAGCAAATTCACGTCACAGTCATTGCTTTTCTATACTTGGAGTTCAAACAAAATTCATCCAGAAAATCAAATCAATCGTGCAGGCAATACCCTGTTGACAGTATCAAACGAATTTATATGCCCTGTTTAGGACAGACACACAGTAAATTATACCCCGTTTAGGGCAGAGAGGTCAAAGACCATGCCCTGTCCAGCGGCACATCCCCGTATGGGCTATATAAGAAAGTTACCCCCCGGGCTTGAGCTGTGATGCCACGGCGGCCATATTGGTGTTCAAAACAATGAAACAGCGGCCATGTTGGTGTTCCAAACCAGTCCTCTGGGAGTTGAACTCTTTTCAAATGCAAACACTTTCTTTTGTTCCAATAAATTTGCATAGATGCTGGCCACGTGAGAGAAAACGCTCTATTCGCCTAATCAAATTCAACAGCGCGAGCGTACTACAGTGATTCCCATTGAGCACGCTGATGAAGTCAATAAACTACTGACCTAGAGTTTTTGTGAGTTTCGCAGTCCTCCCAAGACGTCTCCCAAGTGCCTGAGCGAGTTGCCTGAACCCCTGGACAGGCTTCCTTAAAAGCGTTTTTGTTGTTCTCGTCTTTTTTCCTTCGCTTTATCCTTTTGGCCAGTTTTGCTGAGGTGATTTCCCCTATTTATCTCGCTTCTCAACCTTTTAAAACTCCCACCTCCCGTACCTTTCTGACCCCCTATTCTTCCGTTCCCAACCCCCTTTTCCAGTAAGAGGCCGGACACAACCACTGCGTGAGGAAAACATGTTTATTGCTTCAACCGAAACTTTTACAAATATTTGTCAATTGAAATTAGCGAGTGCCTGTATAATCTAGAAATTAGAACCCTAACTCCTCTGCGAGAACGCGGCGGAACATAATGGCAACAGGCTAATGGTAATAATAAAAAAAAAATGTTGAAGTTTGTTTTAAGAGCCAGTGTTTACTAAAAGCAATTTTTAGCTAGAGGTTTTTTTGTAGATCATAAAGAGACGTCCAAACTTGAGGACGAGTTAACAGTGAGTCCTCGGGAGCTAAGTAGAGAAAGTGGGTGGTGGAGCAGTTGTTTTGGCCGTCGCGGTCGCGGGTTGCGATCTTGGTTTGCACCTATATATAGAAATAATAAATCCAATTCTTGATCACCACATATCCTGACTGATATGGAAGTTTCCATCCAAGAAACTGTTGACGTAGACCTAGGACTGAAAACAAACAAAAAGACATTTGGCCATTTTGAGGACTTTGAGGTTTTGCGTAAGTGCGGTTTGTATCGTGTTGCAGTTAATCTCAAAGAAAGTCATTTTTAATGCTAAATCTAATCTATAACAAAGAATATTCAAATGATCGACAGCTCGTCAATAAAAAAAAAAATTTCCAAAGAATTCACTTCTTTCTGCTTTAATTTCTCCCACAAGAAAAATGGCAAACACCGAGCTGTCAGATCCCTATCCGCAGTCTCTCCTCTCACACTCTGACTTCAACCTTCGCGATTATCTCGCACGGAAACGCGTGTTTTGCTACGCAGGCTAACTGGTCGAGATCGAGAGTGGTTTGGCCAGCTTATAATTTCCATCTTAGCATTGTATCTACAGTTAGTTTTATCTTCGACTTTGTAGTTGAAGTCATGTATTAGAAAAACAGGGACAATAACTACATTCCGTTTTAAACCCCCCACACAAGTACACTTGGGCAGCAGTCTCTTAGTGAACAGAAGGCATATCGTGACGAGGTTAAGTCTTTAATTTAGCCATGTCAGTTGGTATTTCCGAACTCATGTATAACATGTTGAAAAGTCTTGTTCGCTTTATACTCAAATCAAGCTCCTAGAGAAAACTCTCACTTTGCGAACACCTCTTTATTACGGATATCCCGACGACAATGGCAACAGATGAATTCACTGCAAAAATATTACACAAATTTCAGAATAAAAAAACACCAACTGAAATATATTTTTGTCTGGCCGCTGTACATGTTACGGTCACGCTTAACTGGGAAACCCGTGCAGTGCTTATTTACAATTGAGTGAAGTTTGTTGACTGTACATGTAATTGTTCGCAGTGGTTTTCCAATTACAGGGGCACCCAACGAGAATATAGTTTAAAACCACATAAACATAGCATTGTTGAACGTACTTTAGTATTTAAATGGTAGATAAAGGATTATTTTTATCCCCTACAAATTTTTCATTCGTTCGGATTTCCTAGCTGACAGTATAGTGATCCGAAAATTATAGGGATCAAATCTACGTTTTCGAAAATTTCAGCCAGAAAAAAGGCTCCCGAAAATTCTAGGTGACCTTTTTAGGGTAAAAATCCGTTAAAAATGGGCAATTATACGATTTTTTTGAAGTTCGAAAATCCTAGGAGAGGCAGGCAAGCAAGAAATTTTTCGGAAAATGATCCGAAAATTCTAGACCTCAAATCGTCTTCCAAACAGATAATTTTCCGAAAATTGTCGTTGGGTGCCCCTGCAATTACTTTTATTTCTTTTACGTACGTGAATGCAACAATTAAACTACTTGAAAATTGGATCGCCTTGAGCATGCCGCGGGTTGTTGAATCGACCACCGTTTACGAGGCACTAAAGAATTTCCGCGTACTAACTGACATAAATGTAAAAACGCTTCGGCCTAATATCTCTGCAAAAACCGCCAACCATGGTCCCTACTCCTAAAGGATAAAAAAAATAAGACCCTTTTTTCATTTCTTTGGAAAACAAACGTTTCTCACCCTAATATGTAAAATGTAAAATTCCCATCATGAAACAGTAAGTAGCCCTTCCATCAGTGAAAAGTTGACTGCAAGGGATTTGATCTTACCACAAAAGCTTTCAGGCAGAAGACAAACAAAGATAACATAAAGAAAACACGTTTTAAACAAATAAATGTTTATTTTTATTTTATTATGCCTTTACAATGTTGTTTAAAGCGCTACCTAAGGGCGCTTTCCATTGTCAGACTGACCGGCCACACCAGTCTCGATGCAACGATAATTTCCTTTTTGATCAAAACTCTCCAGCTAGATCAGTCAAATCCTAAATAGTGTGCTCGAAGGGGATGGTTTTTCAGCAGAAACCCTCGTAAAAAGCCTATTACATTTTCAAACTGACTGGTCGGGCAAATGTCAGGCGGGCAGGCTCTGTCAAATGGAAAGCACCCTAAGTTTCGTTAAATTTCGAATTCGGCCACTTCCTCTGCTCGTGTAGTCACTCCGGCGGGAGAGAAGACCGCCTCTGTCCCCGAGTGACTTGCAGAGCGAATAAGGCAGCTGAAATCAATATAAACTTTAGTTTAGCGGGATATTCTAGAGAACGCCCAGAGCAGTTTACTTAGTGTATATAAAAATGAACGGTGATTTGATCGCACATTTTATCCAAAAAAGTGGCTGGAAGGGGTCCTGCTTATTTTCCAATCCATTTCTTTGGAGTGCAGTTCCAGAAATAGTAAAGATAATTCTTGATCACCACGTATCCTGAATGGTACAGAACTCGCCATGAAAGGAACCTTTGACGCTGGCCTGGCACTGAAAAGAAAGAAATTCAGAGGGAAATAATTATTTCAAATCATAGTTCTACAGAGGATTTGAGAACTATTCTATCTTTTAAAACTTTAATTCTTAGATTAAAACATAAGGTACTACGTGTATGGTTTGGTTATCGACTTAATCAGTCGGTTTTCCGTTTCAGTAATCAAGCAATCAATCTTTTAGTCAATCAATCAATCAATCAATCAATCAATCAATTTTTAGTAAATTTATAAAAGAATTACCAAAGAAAGATATCATTCTGCTCCAAAACAGACGGACGGAAAATAAACAAAATTAACCGCATTCACAGGAATGTGCAGCCACTAATTAAAATTCGAGGGAGGATACATTGAACAATTAACACAAAAACTTTTGGTCATAAGATTCTTGCAAAAGAGGACCAATGAAGGATATCTTATGACTAATATACGCTTACCATAGCAGCTGCGTCGGAAACAGAATTTAATGTGAAATATTTTGAAGATGTGGTTTGTAGGAACGCTCATAGTGATAAAGACCCGCGGAATCACCCGGCGTTTTCCGATATCTTCCTCGGCGTCTTGCTTTGTTGGTATCTTTGGGTCTTCTTCGGCGGCTTTTTCCGGGTCTTCCTTCAGATAGGCGGTGCTGTCGAGATTCGCGTCCCTCGCTAATGTTTCTTCACCTCTCAAGGTTTCCGCATCCGTCTCACTTTCAGCTTTGGTGTACTTAACCAAACAGAGGGCCAAGACCAACACAACGATCTCGTGCAAGCGCATCTCTGGCTGTCGAACAAACGATATGTAAAAGACTCAAGAGCTTGTAAATTAAAATTAAAACTGCGAAGTATTCTTAGCGGAGCTACGTTAAAAAAATCCCTCTTGTAAAGTCAACAGCGCTTAGGCTGGTACCAAAACTGGGGATCCAAATAACAGTCTAACATATAAATTTAAATTTTCACTTTCATGTAATACTGGCTATGGATACTGGGTTAAATCAGTGGAGTTGACGACAAATATGCAAGCCTTCTTTTTTTAAAATTCCAATAAAGGAATCGCAAAAAGTGGTCCTTTTTGCTCTTGAACTCGCGGACCCTCTTAAAATACCAAGTTAAGTTGTTTAGCTTCTCCAATTCAATATAGTTTTCAACCAGTAGAATGTAAAAATAAATTTACAGGCAAAGATATATAAAACTTAATCATCAGTCTAAACCAGTGAATTAAGCTATTCATAACCCGAGCTGACAGGAGAGATCTAAGGGAAAGAAAGAATTATAACGCTTTAAACCGAATCCTCACCTTGACTGATCTGACTGTGATGACGCTAAGGTTTCAAACTGTTTTCTTTTGCTCGCACGGTAGCAAAAGAAGAATAAGCGCGTTTGCCCTCTGATCTGAACAAAACAGCTTTTTTATACCATTGGTCACCACAAAAACGTGACTAGAACTTGAACCAATGTTGGTTATTTCAAGAACTCTGGTTTCTCTGGAAAAACAAAATTCTTTTGTATGCACTAACTCTTGTCAGTTTGGGTATCAAAATCACTTCTGAGGGGCCGGACTGTACAAGGCATCACGCAATTGAAGCAGGCTTACAACCCGGGGGGAGGGTACTCCTTTATATAAGCCATGTAGGTGTGTGCCGCCCCATCTGGTAGGGTTTTTGCGCCGTTTTGGTCTGAAAACGGGTAATCATACACTTTGCCCATTTTGGTCTGGAATCGGGCGTGGTTTTAAAGGGAACTACGGAGTGTAAAAAGGTATTTATCGCTTCAATTCCAAATTAGTAAGAAAGAAAGAGAAATATGCGAATTCGAAATGGATTGAATAACGTTTTTGTTTGCGCTCTAATCCACTAGTAGGTAATGATAACATAAAGGCCAGGTCTGAAAACGGGAATGGATTTGAGAAGTCTAGTCTGAAAACGGATGTGGAAAATTACAGTTTTTTAGTCTGAAATCGGGTCAGGATTTGAAGAACCGGGCGGCACACCTCCACCAAGAATTCCCAGTAGTACCCCCCCGGGGGGGGGCTTACAGTCCAATACACGTGGCCATTTTACAGTTGTGGGCTTGGTGCCCTAGCCCTTGAGAGAACGTGAGGTTGAGGTTGATTTTGTTGTGATACAAACCTCATTCCTTTTATAATGTAAATTTTGCTTAAAAGATACTAGTTAGCATAAGAAAGACATGATTTACATAATAAAGCAGGAAGGGTTGTATCAAAACAAGGTCAACTCCAGCCTCGTTTTCACCTGCAACTTTAAAATGGGCTATTCAAAATCAACTAAACATGACATTTCAATTTATTTTTTGTCTCACAAACGTTTGTACACGTACGAGCAATATAAAGGCTAAACCACGACAAAATGATCTCATTCAATAATGATTAGTTTTCATCACGGAAAACTGCAAGTCTGGAAATTTCTGGGTCCACGGGACGAAAAAACGGATTTACCGAACGTCAAAGGTGAAGTCAAACGGGCGATAAAGGCCACCTTTGCACACCTTTGTACAACTTTGACGCGCGACAAATGTTTACCTTTGCCCGCGGTCAAAGGCGAGTCTTCAGGCGATAAAGGCCGTTTAGGTCGCGCCTTTAACCCCTACCTTTGACGCGCGTCAAAGGCATATTTCATTAGCATTTGCACCGCTATCAAAGGCGTCGTCAAATATGTCTGAGATTCAGGCCAAAGGTGTGACAAAAGCGCGGCAAAGTTGTGTTTGTGATTAAAGTCAAAGGCTTGTGAAAAGTGTCGTCAAATGTGTCTGAGCCTCAGGTCAAATGTGTGACAAAGTTGTCGTCAAATGCATCTGAGATTTAAGTCAAAGGTTTAACCAAGGTGTTGCCAAATATGTTTGTTTTTTTTCCTCCCCTCGCATCGCGCTTCTCGCTTGTCTCGCGCTTCGCGTGAATTCCGCGTTCGCCTCGCGCTTCGCGCGAATGCCGCGTTATTGCCTCGCTAGTCATAAGCGCTTGATATACAGGCTAGAATCCAACTTGAGATTTCAATCAAATTCAATTGCGACCTGGATACTGTTTTAAAAGGTGGACAGATAAGAGACTGAGTTCTTGATCTTGTAATTTATTGTCCTAAAACCTCATTAGATGATTAGAAAGCTGAATAATTCCGATTAAAACTTAAACGAATAAAAATGATTTTTTAAAACCTTTTCACGATTTATTGTCTAAAGTACTCATTGCAGTCTGTCAATGGACAATCATAATGACTGCCGCAAATTTTTGAAGCACTATAAATATTCCAGATACACGCTGTTGTCACGGACGGCAACCTGCAAAATAGTTTAAAACACTTCTTTCACACAAGCCAGTGCAAAAATCATGGTAAGTAAGAAATGTTCTTGATCAGGAGCCCATCTGTCTTGATGTTATCTTTGCGAAGATTTTCATTTTAGAGTGCTTTTGATTCTTGATGTAAGTGAAAGACAAACGCCATGTATCTAACTTCAATCCTCCTCTGTTGTGTGTTTCGTTCCACTGGAGACTTGTCACTTTGCCTTGTTTCTTTTATCTGTGAAATAATTGTAAAAGAATATAGCAATTTGAGATAAAAAATTCAGTCATAGTATTTTAAATAAATTTTTCGGCCCCACTCCCTTTTTACTATCCTCCTTTTCTGCAGAAAATCCCCCTTTCTCTTTACCTATATCAAAACTTAAAGACCCGGTTAAAAATGTGTAGCGAACCTAATGCTTTTGAATGGGAACATTACATTTCGTGTACATGCATTGTCATTAAGTTCGTCATTTGTGAAATTTGACGTTTGAATCTAGTCTTATTATCACTTAATAAAGTCCAGGAAAATTCAATCAAAATTTCCCTTTATGCCCAAAGCTTAAAATTAAACTAAAGAAACACTTTATATTATACCTAGCCTGCATAACAAGCGTTTCCAATAGAGTTATTGCGCGAGTTAGCCCCTCCCGGCCCCCCCCCCCTTCCTCTTTTTTGCCCTCTACAAACTTAGTCTCTTGCACAAAACTCGCGCGGAAAAGGCTATTTTTAAAGCTATTGTCCAGTCACAATAAAGAAGGGACAGCTCGGTATGTTTGAATGATTATTATTAAATATTGAAACATACCTAGCTGCCACTGTGGTGGCACGAAAATCAATGGAATATTTTAAAAATTATGCAGCCTGAGCCCCGTTACGTATAGAACCCAGAAAAATCAATAGAAAGAGATACTCACGTCTGTAAAACACCCGAAGTCTTCAAATAACCACACTTCTTTGTTTCATAAACTGCACTGAATCCTGTTAAAATAAGCTTATGTACTTGCTTCAGTACTATGCCCATCAAAGTCTGGTACAGATATTTTTATTGAAGTACACTGTCCATGAAAAAAAATATATGTAAGTCTTATATTATTTCATTACCCCGTAGTTAAGTATAACTGTTAGAAAAACCAGAGTTGGTTAATCTTGATGTTAGTAGGTTCTCGTATGGAGTTTTGACTTGAATTGCATTGTGAAATACTTTTGCAGAAATGCACTAACCCTATTAAGAAAAAAGGGCTTGATCTAATGTTAACTCTGCTGTGATATAGAAAACTTTTTGTAGTTTAATGAACCAGATTTAACAATCAGAAAAGTTCCCAAGCACGACATACACGCGCCTGTTCGGAGTTGGTTTCCGTAAGCTCAAGACAGTAAAACAACTATGAAGTTTGAAGAGCAACTATTGCATGCACACATAGAAAAGAATGACACGTACCTTTTAAACAAGCTTGTGGTCTAAACTCTAAGGATAAGGGTGAAAATATTTGCTAACAAAAGCTGGACTGCTTCGTACAAAAAACCTTCTTTTGTTTTCTTCAGATTTGCGTAGTTTGTTTGTTTGCGCGGGCGGAAAGAGTTTGCAGCCGCGACAATTTCGCGCCAAAAACAGGGTCTCTTGCTTGGGTTCAGTCTTCCATCGTCCAATTGTTGAGTCATTGTTTTGCGTCGCTGTCATTATATGGTATATTGATCGATCAAGGAGAAAATGATCCACTCAAGATAATAGATAAGACAAAAAAGAATCACTTCGAAAAAGTACATATTCTAGAGCATTTTCAAAAATAATTATAAAACAGCAATACAATGATTACCCGCCCGTGTTCGGTATTGTCGTATAAATATCTTTAAAACAGTATTCAAATACAGCTTTTTAATTTCCTTTCTTAATATCAGTTTCGACATAAGTGTTTGTAGACGTAATTCATTGCATATTTGCTCTCACCTTTCAGCACCATTCAACTTATTTTCAGCCACTACACTTTTGACTTCATCTTTGACGTGCGTCAAAGGTAAAGACAAAGTTACCAGCATATTTGACACCGACTTTGATAAGGGTTAAAGGAATAGCAAAGCATTGATTCATTTGACTTCATCTTTGACGTGCGTCAAAGGAGAAGTCAAAGTTGTTACCAATTTGACTTCACCTTTACGGAGGTCAAAGGAGTAAGCAAAGAGGTTATATATTTGGCGACATCTTTGACGCGCGTCAAAGGTGAAGTCAAAGCCAATACCATATTTGACTTAACTTTTGACGCGCGTCAAAAGTGCAGTAAATCCAATTTTTCGTCCCGTGGTCGTTTATGTAGACTGTTAAAAACCTTGAAACAATTAAACAAAATATACTTGCAGAAAGGTCACGCGTGATAAAACATCTAGAGTTTTTAAAGATCGTGATAAACATATAGAGCTTGCTGAGAAAATCAGAATTTTTAACGCGTGTTAAAGAAGCTCAACCACACACCAATGATTTTTAGAGTGAT